AAAAGACACCTACTGAGAAGGGCTCCTGGTGGCTAACTGGGCTCAAAAACAAGCTGAGCCTAGCAGCCATTTCTGCACAGGGACCTCTCCCGAAAACTGCACTTCCTGAAGGAGCCTCTGCACTGAACTGCCTGCCTGCACTGTGTTTCTGCTACATGAACCAGCCCTCATAAAGGAGTTCCTGGAATCCTATTTCACTCAACAGGACTGAGGCTTTCCTCATCCAATCAGAGCTGTGCAGCTCTGACCAATCGGAATGGCTCTATTCTGACCAATAAGGACAGTGCCTTTGGACCAATCAAACTGTGAGGATTCAGAGTCCTCATTTGCATGAGAATGGACTCATCAGAGACCAGGGGTGGGGACTTCTGTCTATATAAGCCAGCTCCCCTTTGGTTCAGAGGGCGCACTTTCCACCAAAGACCTGAAACTGCATTCAGGGGCCAGAAATGAATCACCAAAGATGTTTTGCCAGAACAGAGCAAAGCAGACCAGCATGGAGTGCAGAGCAGACCAGAGCAGCCTGTATCACTGTTAACCTGTTTGGACGAATCAAATTTCCTTCTTCACTGCACCCCAAATAGGGGATTCCTGTTGGCGTTGAATTGGTGCCAACGACCAATGGTTGATACCAGCAACCTCATGCAACCTCATGCCTAGCATGTTCTCCATCAAAGCAAATATTTTAAAATTGAGACCCAAATTAAAATCATCCTCAATCTTGCTGGGTTGGATATGGCTTCCAAAACAGGAAGACACGAATGGCTGCCTTTTCAGTCTGTGGTTTGGAGGCCTAGAACTCAGTGCTCAAAGAGGAAGCGCACACTAGGCTGAACTTAGGGGCAGGAAGCTGCTGGGGGGCGAGGGCCTCGGCGGCCAGCCCCTGGCATTCATCTCAGATGCCTAATGCCTGTCCTGGCTGAAGCCAGACTCCTCCACCCCCGCCTACAAGGAGCTCCCATGGCCCCCTTCTGTGGTGGCAGAAACCCCGTAGATGCTCCCTGACCCACAAGTAGCCCTTCCCAAGCCCAGGAGCACATCTGAGTTTTATTTATTCCAAAAGAGCCAAAAAATGATAGAGATGACCTGACATTTGATGCTAGAACATGCCAGGTGCTGTTCTAAGTGCCTTATCTCCTTCAGTTCTCACACACCTTATGAGGTAGGAAGTGCTGAGTCCCCCATTTTACAGATGGAGAATTAAAAGCTCAGAGATATTTCCCTGGCAGGTTTCTCAGTGGTTAGAGCATCGGCCCATGGACCAAAGAGTTCCGGGTTCGATTCCAGTCTAGGGCACGTGCCTGGGTTGCGGATCCCCAGCCCCGGTTGGGGTCATGGAGGAGGCAACCAATTGATGTGTCTTTCTCATATCAATGTTTCTCTCTCTCTCCCCCTCCTTCCCTTCCACTCTATCTGAAAATCAATGGGAAAATATCCTCGGCTGAGGATTAAAAACAAAACAAGCTCAGAGGTATCAAGTAACTTGTCTATGACACTCAGCAAGGAGTGGGCAGAGCTGGGACTCAAAGCCAAGCAGCCTGGCTCTGAACCCATGGTACAGAATAAGCTGCACTGCACAGATACAGCCAAGGTGTCCTGCCAGGGCCCTGTGGGACACTCCTCTCTACACCTGGGCTGCTTATCCAGGATGCCTGTGACCCTGCCTATGGGCTCGTCTCCTAGTTGAATGAGCAAACACAGCCCATAAGCAGGGCAAGTTGGAAGTGCTGGCAAATTAACACCCTTGAAGCTGCCCTCAGCCACAAATGGGAAGGAGCAGATGGACACTTCAGCTTCCTGCCCCTCGACTGCAAAACCCTGCAGCAAGCAGGCAACTCCCAGCAGGATGAACCCGCAGTTGCCCACAGAGGTAAGTTGCTTGATAACACGTGCATTTCCGGCTGCCCCCCCCCCCCATGCATCACTTCCCCGCTACTCTGTGGTGCCTCCTGGGACCTCCCAGAGAAACTGCCTGCACTTCAATCCTGACAGTCTGCTGCTGGGGACTCTCAAAGCAGGACAATGACCAGCTGTGGGATGTAAGAAAGTGACGTCACCTCTCTGGGCCTCAGCTTCCTCATTGGTAAAAGAAAAATGGGGATGATGATAGCATCCACCATTCAGAGTTGTTATGAGGATTGGATTAAATGAGTTAATATTTCTAAAGCACTTAAACTAATAAACAGCACGTAGTCAGCATTTTATTAAACTAAAAAATTCTAAGAAATGTTTTAGAAATATGTCAGAAACCCCATTTTGAACTGTCAAAAATGGTGGCTTCCCTTCCCGGGCCCATCGGCAAGTCCACAGTCAGAAGAAAGCCCCCCACAGAGCCACTGACCTTCTGAAATGTACCACACATGTTCATTGCACCCGGCTGACCCTACCATGAAATTCTGTTGCCCCAATTCCAGCAGCTCGATTTTACCATCGCTCAGAATTTCTCCAGAGAAGAGACTTGAAAATAATTTCTGAGCCATTCTGGGTGCTAATTGGTTACTGCACAGGGATTACATTTCTCATGTTCAAGGTCAACTGAAATTCCTCTATGAGGACAATTTTCAGTCTGCCGGAAATGGTTTTCAGTCAACGGCTATGGTGTGGAGCAACGATAATCCAGGCACACACAAGCATCTGTGGGCTCTTCTGGATGCGTGGGGACGCATTTTGTTGCACGCAGACCACACAGCTCCTTACTACAAGCCAGTAACTGGCCCAGATCAATGCTCTGTTCATGCAGGAAACGTGTTCCCTGGTGTCCTGAAATGTCGCCCTGGCTGCCCGAGGACAGAAGAAATCATTTTGCAAAACTGAGACTTCTTTTTCTATAAGAAAATACTGGCCTTGTTTTTTCTTCACCCACAGTAATACATTTTAACACTGCAGCAAATGGACATGTCGTCAGGAAGGTGAGGGAAAGAGATGGAAAATGTTCTCTGGGAGAACTTGTTTTTATCAAACAGTTCTCATCTCTCCTGGGTGGGAAGTCCTTCTACAGACTCCTTTGGTCTCGATGCCCCTCAGTTACGAAGTGCAGCAGAACGACTCACGAGCTCAAGGCCAGCATGCTGTTCCACTTATTTCCAGGAAGGTTTATCTACTGGGTCAAAACCATCTCATAGTCCAGGTTTGTGGAGGGCACAGGCTCAAGACAAGGGTCAACACCCAAGTGCTATTTCTATCAAGTTCAGGGAGAAAGCAACATGGGTCTTGAAATAAATGGCAAAATGTTTGCCGAGGCCAGCACAACTCTACTCAGACCTCCGCCTCACCTGAACGCGCTCGGCTCTCTGCTCTCCCCACGTTACCCTTCTGGTAGGTCTCCGACAGCCGCTATAACTCCCCACCACAGGGCCTTTGCACAAGCTGTCTTCTCTGAACGGAATGCTTCCCTCTGCTCTTAACTTGGTAAGCTTCCATTGTTGTTTCCGCAGGGACACCGTCCGCATGCTCTCAGACAAGGTTTCGTTTCCCTCTACGTTCTCCAAGTACCATGGACCTCTCTTCCACAGAACTTTACTGATCATAGTTTTTATTTGCTTATGAGATTATCTGGTGGATGACAGTGATGGTAATCTATTTTGTTTTGGCTGTGTTATACATTTTTTCAGTCAGTAAGCATCGTTGCTTATCTAAGTTGGCAATTTCCCATCAGACTGAGTATATTGGGTCTGCATGACACAACAAATCATGTTTCTCTCAGATTTCTCTCATAAAACAACTTTAAAATCATTCAGTATAGAAATGATGAAAGAAATCAAACCCATCTTCCCAAAATGCTGTCTTTGTAAAACTGGGATGTGTCCTACATACCGGTTACTTGCACAGGCGAAATGGGTTGCTTGGGCCCACAGAAGGGATGGGTCTGTGAGGACACACACAGGCCACGTAATTCCCAAGGCCACTGTGCAAGCCTCCACCACCGGAGAACACAGACCAAACTTCCCGCCACAGAAGGACTGGCCGGACAGGAAACACAACCGGACACCAGGAACCAAAGCAGCCCCCGATCCCACATCCACTTTCATGTAGACCTAAGCCCCTGCCCAAAGCCACCCACCAAGACCCCAAAACCCACTGAGGACAAAAGCTTCCCGCCAGTGGACGCATATAAGGACGAGACTCAGCTCCTAGGGGCTGCCGTCATCGACCCAGCACCCCGTGGCTCGGTGCTGGTAGCCCTTCCCTTTGGGCATCCCCATCCCCACCCCTTTTCTTTTCTTTTCCTTTTTCAATTATGTTTTATTGACTTTAGAGAGGAAGAGAGAGGGAGAGACAGAAACATGGATGAGAGAGAACGTCGATTGGCTGCCTCCTGCATTCCCCCCACTGGGGATCAGGCCCACAACCTGGGCATGTGCCCTGACCGGGAATCGAACCAGTGACCTCTTGGTGCATCGATGATCAACCACTGAGCCACATCGGCCAGGGCCCACCTCTTTTATTTAAATAAACCCAATTTGTCTCTATTCACCGTCTGGGGTCGCTCTTTAGCCTGCCGTCGAACCACTGACTTGCACCTTTCAGGGTTTATCTGAGGCAGAAGCAGAGGCAGCACCAGAGCCCAGGTCTGGGCTCTTACCCCTTGGAAGATACACCCACGGCTATTTCATGGTGTCACCAGCACAGTCTATTCCATTTTCAACAGGACAGCACCATCCTGCCGCTACATCCCAACCGGATTCTATCCCTCAGCAAACCTGGCTGACTCAGCCTCCAAAACATATCACCACCCTGTGCGCTTCGTTCGCCACTGCCAACGTGGCTGGGCAGGGACAGAGCGCTTTGGAGAAAGGGTCTAAATCGGAAAGAAGACCGGGAAGAACAATGACTTCACGAGGCAGGGAGCGTTTAATTGCAGTCTTGAAGGATAACCAGATGTTTTCTGGGAGACAGAATATTGCAAAGGCACGGAGTCAGGAAAAGGCCTCGACAGAAACCACACCATCAACAGGAAAATCAGCACAGAGGCAGACTCGACCGGCTCCACGACTTCTCACCTCGAATTTCTGGCGCAGCTCCTCGTTGCCCTCGCCTCCTTCTGGCGGCACGGGCACGTTGAAGTACTCGCCCTCCTCCTGGCTCAGCAGCTTAAACCTGCGGAGACAGGGCACAGATTCATGGCTGCCCCACAGTGTCTCGTGGGTAGAACAGGAGAAGAAGGCCTAGGAAAAGCTCTACTTTAAATAACCCCCTGAGGGGTTTCTGTGTGTGTGTGTGTGTGTGTGTGTGTAGCCAGGTATGCTGTATGTTTTTATCTTTGTAACTATTCTGTGGCCATCAGAAGATGTACATTCTGTGCTTACAGAATGCCAAGTCCTCTCGTTCCCTCCCGCTCTTCCCCACCCCCTGCACACAACTGTCTTAGTTATAGCATTCAGTATTACACGTTTTCACTATTTTTTGTCCGTTAAGTGTTCTTTTATTCTGAAGGACGCTACGAAGCTCTCCATTGCCCAGGGACTCCCGTCAGGCTCCCCAGCACTGCGCTTGCCTTTGGTGCCACACACACTGCTGGCACGCTGTCCTGGCACGCGGGACCTGGATGACCGTGGGCCGCTCTTCTCTGCAGGAGCCCCCTCCCCCCACAAAGTGCTGGGCCTCTTAGAAATGGGCTCCCTCAGTGGTTAGGGACACAACGGCGCCTGGGTCCGAATCGCACCTCCGCCTGTGCCCCCTAGGACAGTTGGTTAGGCCCTCTGGGTCCTGATTGGTCTCACCTTTAATTGGAATGAAAGCCTCTTTTTCACAGGGTTATTGTGAAGCCGAGAGACGATGGTGCGTGAGAAAGGAGAAGCACAGGCGGGGCACCTGGCGAGCGCTCCACAGAAGGCCCCACTGAAAGGGTCGGTAATGTTTTAACAAAATTAAACTCCATTCTGACCAGTTATCCCTGCACGTAAACACCCGAGCAGTTTTCTAAAAACCCTGGGACTGACAGGGAACCATGAAGACAAGGGTTAAAGGTGGCCTTGGGAAACTCGGAGGAACCCTAAAAAAGAAAGAGATCAATGACTGCCCTGACCTCTGTAACAGGCTCATCTCGTCCCCTGCAACAGACTCCTCCCTCGCCTCTATCAGCCCCGGCACCAAAAAGCGGCGCCAAGAGCATGTAGTTTGTCGTAGTCTCTGTAGTCTGTGTCTATATGAGCAGAGAACAAAGAAGGCTCCAGGCCGGGCCCTTTTCTGCGTGGCCCGCCTGCACCCATGCGCGTGCAATAAAGCCACTTTGCTCTGCACTGGCCTGCGTTGTGGATGTGACCTCCCGCCGCTCAGGCCTGTTAACCACCATCACCGACGTTACTGTTATCACAACAAACATGATGTTTTTCCTGACCGTCAAGATGTTTCCACCCATGGATGAGACGAGAGTGAGGGAGGAAAGGGGGCATCCACGGGCACTCAGGCCAGTGCGGGGAAAGATCCCCCAAATCCTCACTCTGCAAAGAGGCTTCCTAACCAACATTTACAGTTTCATCACAATTCTTTCCTCCACTCACAAATCATCCTAGGCAGCTTTTAAACTGAGGGCTAAGTGACTCAGAGCAGAGATGACCATCTGAGGCTCCACACTTAAGATTCAGTTCTCTCCTTCCAGATCCCCACTGGAACTGCAAAAAATATATAAAATCGGTATCTTTGCTAGAAGTCAGGCAGGTGCTGTGCACGCAGAGGGGCTGCGGGGAGTTTCCACGAGTCAAAGTAGTGTACGAGGGCGTGGAGCGCTGTTGGCAAACACTGACCTTGTGGATTCCGCTAAATCTGGGTATTATTAACTAATGCTTTTCATTAAATTGTCACCTTTTTCTAAAAATAATAAATTCCATTTGAAAGGACACTTGATATCTCTTATAAAAAAGGCCAACAGCTCTGGCCAGTTTGGCTCAGCGGTTGGAGCGTCGACCTGCGGTCCAGAGACCCGGGTTCGGTTCCCGCTAAGGGCATGTACCTCGGTGCAGTTTGTCCCGGCCCTGGTTGGTCATGCGAGTGGCAACCACTCGATGTGTCCCTTTCACATCGATGCTTCTCTCTCTCTCTCTCTCTCTCTTTCTCTCTCTCACTCTCTCTCCCTCCTACTCCATCTGAACAAAAAATGGAAGAATGTCCTCAGGTGAGGATAAAAAAAAAAAGGCCAACATCACTTGTTACAAGTAGAAAGTAACTAAGAATATAAACATATACAACTCAGTGTTACCCAAGTCCAAGTAGATGGTGTAGTTTACCAAAGTCTCTGAGACCAGGGCCGCCTTCCTTATTAAAACGGGAGGTCAGCCAGCGGCCAGATGTGACTCACGCCTTCCTGCAGTGTGTCTACACGGTAAATGCTCCAGCCCATTAGTCATTTAGTAGCTGTCTTAGTGATCAGATCAACTGTCCCAGCATGACAGCGCTTCCATCCAAGTTACCTTTCTCGTACTTAACAAAGCCTAAGAGTAGTGAAGCTGGCACTTCGCATTAGTCAAGAGAAGCCACAAGGTGCTTCCTTTAAGTGAGCAGGTGTGTTGTGTGTAGGAAAAAACAGTGTATATAGGGTTTGGTCCTATGAGGGTTTCAGGCATCTACTGGGGGGTCGATCTGTGGATAAGAGGGGCTATTGTAAAAGCACGTTGTAAAGGAAATTAAAAATACAACTGCAGACCTTGAGTAAGCAACAAAAGCTGGAAGGCAACTATAAAACTTGGAAGACATATTTATTCCCTCCAAAGCTTGTTTATTATTTTTAGAGAGCAGTGGAAGTTAAGAGAGGAAAAATAAATTAGCAAAATATTCAACTGAAATTCAAAGACAACCACAAACAAACCTACAAGGAGGAGGAAAAAGAAACACAGAATCAATACACAAAACCCAGAGATGACTCTTTGGGAAAACAACAACAACAATAAAACAGACAAACCTCTGGAAAACAAGGGGAAAGAAAGGAGACAGCATAAATAAAATTAGAAACAAGAAGAGAATTTGGAAGCAGACACAGAGCCGGTGGCAAAGCAGCAGATGAGGGCCTGAGGCTGGTGCTCCACATCTGGGAGCTCACAGCTGCTCCCGCTGCCTCGGCCACAGGGCCTCTCGTCAGCACCCAGAGCAGCTGGGAGAGCTCGTCCCCTTGCCGATGGGGAGACCGAGTCACAGACAGGGGCGTGATTTACCCTAGGCCACATGGTGTTAAAAGAATTCCTGGGGCAAGAATCCAAATTTCTAGAATTTGGTACATTTAGAGTTAAGATAGCATCAGAAATGTTTTGGCCCTAAATCTGAAGAGGACTCTTATGTGCAAAATCTGAAAAGGGCTTTTATTTTGCCAAAGTTCCCTTCCAACTATAATTTCATCAACTTCACAACTATCCTACAAGGTGGATGGGGGTGGGGGTGCTGTAATTACCCTTGGTGAATGGAATCATGTCTGATGAGAAGGCCATACAGAGTACAGAGAGGTCCCGTGACTCACCGCGTTGCATCCCTCCAGTTAGGAGAGGCTTTGTAACCGCCAGGCTCCTGCCAACCCTCCTATCAGGGGGCAGAGTGGGTGTGGGCGTGCTTAGGCCCTGGGCCCGCCCGCCCGCCTGCCCTGTGGCTTAGAGCTGTGTGCCTCACACACTGCACAAGCACTCTGATCCCAGGAACAGTGCCCCGCCCAGCACTGGCAGGAGGATTCAAGACCGGTGTCAGTGTGAATGAGGCACTCTCCGGACTGACTCCACGTGCTGTCCCCATCTTTGAGCCCTCTGTCCTCCCCGCTCTGCTGTCTGCTCTAGGGAGGAGACAAGCCAGGCTTGCGCCAGGAGGAGGCACACAGCACCCGTGCACCCAGCCCTGCCTCTGGGGCCAGAGAGCCACAGGAGGAGAGGGGGGAGCAGAGGGGCTGTGCCCCTCCTCCTGGGCCTGGGCAGAGACCTGCATGGAGGCCACAGACGAGCAGCAGCTGCGGTGGGGAAGATGGAGAGCTGAGCCAGCTCCCAGCTCTCCATGCAGGAGCCGGAAACCAGGTCACTGGAGTGCTGAGGGGTGGGGCTGGCAGGGGCCTGGGGCTGGGACTGTGTGGAGGACCCTCCCAACCAGAGGCCACACCAGGACAGGTCTCCAGCATGAAGCCAGAGGTGCCCCAAAGCTGACTGGGACAAGGAGCATCGGCCGTTCTGCAGCAGTTTGGGCCAGAAGGTCCCCTTCTCCTGGGCCACCATGAGGTCACAAAGCTGCACAAGGGCCATTTAGGAAATAAAGAAGTATGTGTTTTCCACACACTGATCAGTGCTGCATCTATGTGACTCCTGACACCTGGACAGTGCTCAGCGCAGTGCCTGCAATCTATGAGGGGCAATAAGTGGCAGCCACTGTCATCATCATTATTATTAACATTCTCTCCTGTCACTTACACCCCTGAGGATCCTGTTCTTCTTCTTACCCTCTTTATGCCTGGACACAATCTGAGTGATGATGGGGGAGTGTGCAAAGTTACATCGTCCACATGTTAAGACAAATTATCCAAAACTTGGGGAAAAGGCAAAAAGAGGAGAGTGTAACCTTCTACTATCATGCGAGAGCGTTTTCGATTTCGTTCCTTCTTCCTCACAGTATTACCACTTATCCACAGTCCAGTGGGGCCCCGGGGTCTCCCAGCCCCGGGAACATGTGGTTAACTGCTCCGAGGCCGTGCTGAGACTTTGTTCCTCTCGTCCACACCAGCTCACCTCCAGGTTTATCTCTGCCTTCGCCGTCCCAGCAGCCTCCCCCCCTCCCTTACTCTGCTGCCTGCAAACCTTAGGACCAGCCGCGCCCCTTCCTGGTTTCCTCGCTCTCGGCTAAGGAAACGGACAGACTCTCACTTTACGAGAATTGTGTTTTTAATCATTTACTCTTTGTGCTTTAAGGCACCTTATTATTCTTTTCTTTTCTTCTTTGCCCTGGGCTTCTGTCCTCTTAGCGTGTCTGCTCAAGTCACTGACCAGCTTCAGTGCCGCTTCCTCTCCACGGCCTCCCCTCCGTGGAGCGTGTCTGTCTCACTCTCGACATATCTGGTGACAGTGGACACTCAGTACACGTTGGCATAAACGCCAGATCAGCACGGAGGAGAGACAGGACATAGTAAGGCGAACCGTGGAAAGGACGTGTAGTCCCAGCGACCTGTTCTCTCTCCTGCTAAACCAATTTGATTTGCTTGACTTTTGCTTGTAACTGAAAAGGCCCTGAGACCATCCAGAAATGAGAGAACTTCTCTTACAGAGATCAGAGCAGACCTCCCACCACCTCCAACAGCCAGTGCTGGCTTGCGCGGCCTCTTCTGGCCCCTTCACCCAGACCACTGGGACTCATCGCTGCCAGGCTAACCCGCCTCGTGGGTGGGGAGGCTGGGCAAGGATTTTTTTGCCTTAAGCAGGGACCAGCCCAGCCGGTGTGGCTCAGTGGTTGAGCACTGACTCATGGACCAAGAGGTCACCGGTTCAATTCCTGGCCAGGGCACATGGCCAGGTTGTGGGCTCAATCCTCGGTGGGGGACGGTTTTGCTCAGTGGTTAGAGCATTGGCCCGCGGTCCAAAGAGTCTTGGGTTTGATTCTGATCAAGGGCTTGTGCCTTAGTTGCAATTCGATCCCTGGCCTTGGTCAGGGTCATGTGGGAGGCAGCCAGTTGATGTGTCTCTCTCATATCATTTTCTCTCTCTTTCTCCCCCTCCCCCTCCTTCCCACTCTATCTGAAGATAAATGAAAAAATATCCTCGGATGAGGATTAATTTAAAAAAAAAAAAAAGTGAGAGCCACTTTAGTGACCATGGGGCCAGTCAGGTCACATAACTGCAAAGTGGGCTGGTGTAGAACTACAGGCGTGGTCGGGACTGTGGCAAATACAACACCGTCTGAAGGGGCGCTGACCCCTCAGCTGTTCTCATTCACTGGGCCCAGGGCGCCCACAGTTTTCTGGCTTTTCAAGCCATAAGTCTAGGTCTTTATGGGAAATGTCTTGATTTTTAAAATATTGGCAATTAATTCTTTCTCTTTTCTTTTCAGCACAAGAACCACATAAAACACATCTGTGAAGCCGGGCAAGGGTACCGAGACCCCTCCGTGAGGCCAGGCCAGGGGACCGGGACCCCCCCGTGAGGCCAGGCCAGAGGACCGGGACCCCTCCGTGAGCCGGGCCAGGGGACCGAGACCCCTCCGTGACTGCTGCAGCAGCTCACTTGCAGGAGGAGCAGCACCCCTTCATGACTGCTGCAGCAGCTCACTTGCAGGAGGAGCAGCACCCCTTCATGACTGCTGCAGCAGCTCACTTGCAGGAGGAGCAGCACCCCTCCGTGACTGCTGCAGCAGCTCACTTGCAGGAGGAGCAGCACCCCTCCGTGACTGCTGCCGCAGCTCACTTGCAGGAGGAGGACAGGCTCACTGCCACTGATGAACCACGATGCACTGCGGCTTCCAAAGCAAAGCCTCCCTTACCAGCCGTCAACACCAGCCTTCTGCAGCTCAGAAATCCCAAACGACAGAGATCCCATGAAGTCGTTCCGGCTGGTCAGATCCCAGTCCCAGATCTCCACGGACAGTCTCCTGTCTTTGTCTGACTCCTTCAGCTGGCTGCAGAGAGAAACGTCAGGGAGGACGTCAGTGCCAGTGCCAGTGGTCGCTCAAGCAGATGAAATGGACCAGCGGACGAAGCCCGAAGGTAGGAATTTCTAAAGATCACAAACTCTTACAAGAAATACGTTCCTTCTCTATGCCAGCGAGCTCCCCAGGGAGGAAGAGCTTTTTCTGCCTGACAGCCTGCGGCTGACACAGGCAGAGGGCCCACACCAGCTCTGAGGGACAGCGCTAGCTACTTGTTGCCTTCCTATGTCTTCATAGGGCTCATGGTGGTCTGGAAATCTTGCAGACACAGTCACTATAAGAAATATGGATGTCAATTATGAAACCCTGTGGATGTTTGCACACATATGGGTTACTGGGTAAGGCTGGGGAAATGGACAGAGGAGAGTCTTGCTGGTGCTGGATGGGGGGAAGTTGTATATTCTGAGGCATCTCCTTAGTTGAGGCTGAGATGGGCCCCTACATTTGCTTTGAGAGAAGAAAGAGGGGATGAGGGGTCATGCTTTGGCCTGTGGCCTCTCAAGTCAGACTGTCAAAGGCTGACTCTCCCCCCTGTATTTGCTGTGAGACTTTGGGCATGTTCTGTGAGCCCCATTGGTAAAATAGGGTGAAATGACCAATGAAGCTAGATCACCAATACAGGGCTTGTTAGACACAGGATATGCTCAGTAAACACCAGCTGATATCACTAACGCTCGATGGCCCAGGTGTATCAAAAAGTGATCCCCAGGTTCTTGGAGCGCCAGCCAAGGAGGACGCTCCATGGGAGCTGGCAGGAGCTCCCAGCAGGCTATGGGCCCAGCATTTTCCATAAACTCAGCCCTAGAGAGCGGAGACCCTGAGCTTCCCACCACTTGCCTTCACCTAGCAACACATCACACTATTTTCTGAGCCACCCACTCCCCACACCACAGACATTCTCAACTCTATTAAAAAAAAATAGGCTCCAATGTTTACTTGGCTAGCAATGCAAAAATGCAGATGGAAGGGGAGGAAAAGAAAGAAGGAAAGTGTGGGGGAGAGAAGGTGGGAGTTGGAGGGAGGGAGGGAGGGCAGGAAGAGAAGCCGGAGAGGAACTCCCCTCTCAGGGAGCCCACCCCCCACACTGGGCTGCAGTAAGTTCACTTACAATCTGAACGTCTCGTTCCACTCGGGGTTGAGGGAGCATTTGATTGTTTTGGTCTTCTGTTTGCTCTCACTTTTGGGGTCAGGAATGAGTTTCAGTTTCACATAGGGATCTGACAAGCCATTGGGGTCCATAGGCACAAGGTTTTTAGCATCTCTCACTGAAAAAAGATAAAGTAGTTTCAGCATTAATAGCTCCCAGAACGTTTAAGCACCAACCGGCAATGGTTGCAGAACCCGTGGAAGGGTTCTTGGCATCACCTTTACTTGATGGGAATTTTATTTTATTAATATTAATAACTAAGAAGTGTTCAACGTGAGATAAACTGACAAGAAGTGGGCTCTGCTCTCTACTGGCTTAAAACTGATCGCTGACTTCCTTACGCTCTCCCCACTCCACCCCCAAGGTTAACTGCACATTCTCTAAGCGTGTGTCCACAGCGGCCAGCAGGAAGGCAGACTTCTTCCACTCAGCAGAGTGTTCCCAAGGTTCACGCAGGTGGTGGCCCATGTCAGGGCTACACTTGTGGCTGAATAACACTCCATTGTAAGGATGTATCAAGTTGTGTTTACCCATCATCAGCTGGTGGACATTTGGGCTGTCTCCACTCTAGGGCTATTGTGAATAGTGCTGCAATAAGCATGTGTAGCCTGACGCAACAGATGACATACTCTGTGATTCCACTCACATGAAACATGCAGAACAGGTACCTCTCGTGAACAGAAAGCAGACTAGCGGTTTCCGGGGGCTGGGGGTGGAGAGTGGCTAGTTAATGAGTATGTGGCTTTCTTTACAGGTAATAAAAATTTCTTGGGTCTAGATACAGGCGATGGTTGTGTGCACACTGTGAATGTACTAAATGCCACTTTTTATGTTATATGAATTTTACCCCAATTCAAAAAGAAAGAGTTGTCCACTAAACCAAGGCACACCCATCACCCATGTGGCACCCATACCCAATACCCAAACAGCCCATAAAGAGGAAGCTGCACCCTCAACCAAGAACACTGCGTCAAGGAGCTGTAGGACAGCCTAGAGGAGGAAAGAGCAGAGGGTCAGCAGTGTGCGTGCTGGCCATACTAAGGCGGAACAGACATCAGGCTGGAGAAACAGGAAGAAGTTAATTAGGAGTCAATCTGAAAACCAGTAACATAAGTAGCCAAGGGAAGGAGACGAGAAAATGGAAGTTGTACCGATCTTGGGGAGTGTACAGATATTAAGGACACGGTGCCAAACATCTCACTCACAAAAGAAAAATGCAAAGTAGCCTATTAGCAGATTGAATCAAACTACCTGCCAGAAGGCTAATATAGAATGACTCCTAACAAGAATGCAAAGATGGTTCAATCTCAGAAAATCTATTATTAAAATAGTCATCATATGTATAGGTCAAAGGAGAAAACCACAAGATCATTGCAATTAGCTAGAAAAGGCTCTTTTCATTCACAGGATAAGGCTATCTGAAATAACACCACAGTTAATGATGAATGCCATCTCATTAAACTCAGGAATAAGACAGACGCCCATGACCACTGCCATGGTTCAGCATTGTCTAACTGATCCATAAGGATAACAGACAACAGGAACAGAACACTGCTCAGTCCTTACTGCCTGCACCCTTCACTTCCACCTGTTACCTCCCACCTGGAGCGTGTCATCCCAGAAAGAATACCACTTTCTCAGTTCAACTTCATGTACCCCAAGATCTTACACCGCTTCCTATTTTTCCAGTTCATTGACTCAGTAGCTCACAGCAACGAGTCTTTCACCACCAGCCAATCTACTGAGCCCCATGCATTTCCTCTGTCTCCCATTCCCTCTTGCCTTTACCTTTACTCCATTCATCCCAGATTAGATATTATGATGCATTATCATCACTCCCTCGAAAACACTCTCAACTTCCTTGCTCATCTTTCTTTACGTTTTATTTATCTGACAAAACCCCAGCTCTAGTTCAATTCAAATATCTTACCCTTCTTTTCTTACATCCCAACAGCTAACCATTGCTGGAGGAAAAAAAAACACACCTGCCCTGACTTGCCTATGATCACATTTCTAGTAAGGGGTTGGGACTGAATAAATGAGATGAGAAAAGGCTGGGTGGCCGTCACATGAGTGACGAGGGACCTGAGGATGCAAGCGGTAAGTTACTCTGCGCTGACATGCTCTGTGCTCTAGCAGACGGCACTTCCTCCCATTTACCCACGGGTTGAATTCATGTCCACTCTAGCTTGCAGGCTGCATCGCATTCTTGTGGCAGAAGCAAGCATGTGTCCTTTGATCCAGTTAAGTTCCACAAGCAGGTCCCTACTATGTGTAGGCATTCTGCCAGGCACTGGGGACACAGGGACAACAGAAGGTGTCGATCCTGTACCTAAGGAAAACATAAAACCAAATGTATGCCACTTATAGTGGATTTCTAATGACACAGTAGCCAGGTGGTACAGTGTAATGGATACAGGGTTGTAAGCTGCCAGGGTCTGCATCTTGCCTACATTACTTCACATTTTTAAATTCAATTTCTTAACCAATAAACTGGAGGTAATACATAACTCATTGGGTTGTTAGAAGAGTATAATCAGATAAGAGTATAGATGTTTGGCCCTGAACCTAGGCCTAGGAAATAGTCAATAAATGCTAGCTATATATTACTGCCATTTCATCATCATCATCATTAGTAGTAGTATTATTATTATATTATTAGTGATGCTTACTGCCCTTTTATTATATTTTTCCATTTTTATTATGAAGATTTACTCATTTTTGAATGGACTGTCATCAAACAGAACGTCTTACGGTTTCTATTCTTGAGAATAATGCATCTGACCTTGGCATTTGAACCTTACGGGAGTGCCTTTCAAACCCGAGCATGCAGTGGAGTCGCTCATGGGGTGTGAGGTGGAATCCAGGGACCCAGCCCCAGGGAGATTCTGACTCAGTAGGTCTAGAGTGAGACCTATTCATCTGTCTTCCTAACCAGTTTCCAGTGATGCTCATGCACAGAGCACATGTTAAGTAAAGCTTTTATACATGATGTAACTTCTTAGGATATCCATACATTTTCCCTGTAGAAATGCAATTTTCAGCCAGTGTGCCACAAGAATCTTTAAAATATGCAGTACCTGGCTATTTAGTCAGGGGCACTGACCTCTTTTCCCCTGGATTGTCGAATAAAAAAATGACAACAGCCAACACAATAAAAGTCGTCTGGTGTGAATGAATCAAAATTGTGCCTATTTTTTTGTCAGATCAGCAAAAAAATATAGCATTTTTTGGTGTGCCACATAATTTTAGTGATTAGTTGATGTGCACCACGAGAGGAAAAGGTTGCACCGCACTGCCATAGAATACATCCTCATCTCTTGAGCCTTCCAAGAGAACTCCCCTGTGCCAGCTTCGAGGCTGGGATCTTGGAACGACACAGCCCTCACATACTACACTGCGTAAAAACGCCACCTGAGACGCTCTGAAGTGCCAGGGACCTGTCTGGGTGACCGGCAATACAGACGCAGGTGGAGACAGCTCCTCTTTCTTCTCTCTGCCAGGGCCACGCCCCTCCCGTGGGAGGAACCGGCGTTCTTCCCTCTGAGGTCCAGACTTCACAGCTCTCCGGGGTGCAAATGGCACGCGTGTGCTGTACTCCTGAGCCAGTCCCCCAGCTAATGGTTCGCAATGACCTCCCCTTGGGCAGCTACTTCCCCTGAACAGACATCCCTAGTGGAGGCATGACTCCATCCTCTCCCAACCCTCAGGGAGCCTTTCCTCCACTTCCGTCCTTTTCGGGTCTCTCCTCTGCCAGGGCCAAAGTGTCTGTGGAAGGACTGAGCGGGACTGGTTCGGGACTGCTGGCGTTCACATCTCCAGGAGCCCTGGCTACGGTCGGTCGCTGCCGTCCAGGAGCGGCCGACAGCAGCTACAGGCTGAGAGCCAAGGGCCAGACCCTCCCACAGCTTTCCAGAGTCAGGTCGCGTTTCCCAGCAGCAAGAGAGCTGCAGAGGTATCGAGGAAGCCTCTCTAGACCACACTGGGCCAGGCTGACGCTGATTCTTCCTGATAAATGTTTCTTTACTATCTTGGTGGAAATCCAGCCATCCCAGATGGCACAGAAAGCTTCACGTTGAGCAGAAATAGCAACCCCACTTCTCTCCCCCTCCAGTGAAAGTTTGCTGAACGTACAAGAGAAAGTGTCCTGACCCAGAGACACGGCTGGCTGTGGGCATGCAGCTGGGTGGCGGACATCTGGCTGTTTCCGTCAAAGGTCTTCGGAGCAAACGAGGCCCTGCGTTCTGCTCAGAGCTACCTAAGACGGTGCGGAATCCATGAAAAGAGAGCTCTGACGCTAACCATTCTCCTAAGAACTATTCTTCACTCAGAAATTTCCCGGTGCCCCTCTGACCCCCCCAAAAATTCAACTCTCTGTTGGGGAAGTCTGCATAACCCTGCTAATCTGATGCCTGTATCTCACACTGTGTGAACCAGGAGCTTCTCCCTATTAATTCCTTTTGAAGGATAGCGGGAGTCTTTATTTGTCCTATGTGTCCTCAGAACAGTCATTCGAAGCAACAGCCACTAACATTCAGTTATGTTTGAGGATGTTTGCAGTGATAAGAAGTAAGACACCTTGATGGCCACCCACATGGGGGTACAAGATGGAGAGCACACCTGGGGGTACGTGACGGAGAGCACACCTGGGGGTACGTGACGGAGAGCACACCTGGGGGTACGTGACGGAGAGCACACCTGGGGGTATGTGACGGAGAGCACACATGGGGGTACATGATGGAGAGCACACATGGGGGTACGTGATGGAGAGCACACATGGGGATACGTGATGGAGAGGACACATGGGGGTACGTGATGGATAGCACACATGGGGGTATGTGATGGATAGCACACATGGGGGTACATGATGGAGAGCACACATGGGGGTACATGATGGAGAGCACACACATACTGTCAAACACCGTGCAGTGTCCGTCACTCTGGCTACCTGTATACACTGACATGTTGAAGAAGGTAACAAGATGAAGACAGATGATTATAATACAATGCCTCTTTGTTTAAGAAAAAGGTCTGAGGCCCAGCTGGTGAGGCTCAGTGGACTGAGAGTGGTCCAATGGACTGAGAGGTCCCAGTATGATTCCCGGTCAGGGCACATGC